CCTTGTGGTGTGAAGGCCTTATCATGGTGGGAGGCGAGATCGCCGAAGTTTGTTATCTCTTGACCGAGCATTCACCGCTTGTTTGTTCAGATCATCTCACAGTGGTCAAAGAAGGGTTTGTAAAGTAAAGGTCTTGATTTCTATCTAAGAAATGTGGCAGGATGCAATAGTATAGCTAATTAAGCATCTGCTGGGTCATAATCTGTCATGAATAAACAATGCAATCTTGTGTAAAAGAGCAAAACTCGCTTTTATCTTGTAAATCCACCCATGCAATCCAAATCAATCTGTAAGCCGTTCCCGTGTCTAAACAACAATGGCCTTGTGCGCTGGCCGGATGTCATTGCCCGATGAGTAGTTGGCAGAGCTTGTAGCCTTGGTGCTGATGGTGGTCTGGGGAGCCTCCTGCTGAGCGGGCCAGATCTCGTGGCCAGCCTCTTGCTCCTTCTTGTGGTGGTTCTGGAGCTGCTCTCGGATGCTCTGCTGGAAGAAGAGAGGACCTTGCTCCATCTCGGGGTGCATCTCACCGTTGATGAAGACACCAGCGTTGACGTTCTTCTGGGCGTTGGCGCAGAGGTACTTATCCTCAGACATGACACGCTTGTAGAGCTCAGTGATGAGGTTGAAGTCCTCGTCGCTGGAGTTCTTGTTGCGGAAGAACTCGTATCGCATGATGGAGCGGGAGGGGCTGAGAGGAACGAAGCGCTGGATCATGAAGAAGTGAGGAGAGATGTTGGTGGAGGCATTGGGGAGGTAATATGTGACAGCGATGCGGAATCCGCGGTCAATCTGGTCCTGTCGCTGGGCACCAAAGTGCTGGATGTAAGACTTCTGTGTCTCGACCCAGTAAGAGTTGAGGTCGGCGATGGTGGGGATATCAGGGTGAGCGACCTTGCAGTGGTAGCACTCGTTGTAGTTGTCGGCAAGGATCTTCCAGTTGTAGTCGCCCTCCATCTGCCAGACGTGATCGAACTGGTAGTCCTCAAAGTTGTAGTAAGAGAAGCGCTCATGTGTGTCAAGGTTGTCGAAGTCATCCTCCCAGGCGACCTCAGGGGTCTTAGCGCCGTCCATGTTGATCCAGATGAAGCCACGAGCATCAACCTTGACGTGGATGGGGAGAAGGCCATTCTGCTTCTGGTCAAAGCCAGTGCTGGCATCACCGTGGTCACCCTGCTCGGGAGCGACGATGGGGAAGGTACCGAAGCGGGTGATATTGTGGAAAGCGTTGATGTTGCCATCCTCGTCGCGAACAATGACAAACTCGAAGTTGGCCATCTCATACTTCAGCCAGTCACCAGCGTTGGGGACTCTGGCCTGGTGAGTGGTAAGGAGCCACTTCTTGGAGAAGATGGCGCGCTTCTCAAGCTCGTACATCTCGACTGAGGTGTACCATGAAGCGGGAAGGGCACGAACGGCGCTCTTCTCAGTGACAGGGCTGGCAGCGGGAGTAGCAGAGCCGCCGAGGCCAAAGTATCGTTTCAAGAATGACTGGGCCATTGTGAATGTGATTGTGTGTGAGAGAGAAGAGGAGGAGGAAGAGTTGGATATCTTGATGAAGATAAGAGTGAAGATGTGAAGACAGGAGATAAGGACTCGAAGTCTTATATAAAAGTCTTGTTGGTTAGAATGGTAGAGTAGTGTTTGTTGATGATGATAATAATTCGATTGAAGTTGGATCTAGACGTCTTCTAAATACTTCCTTTGCATCTGGTGCATCTGGCACATCTGAAGCTAATCAGGGCGTGTCCATACTCTATCGCCAACATTGAAAGCACCCCCTTGCCACCTGATACCTGACGCCGTCTCGTCTCGATAGACTGAGTTGTTGCTCGCAATCAGGTGGCCCTCTGTTCCGGTGTTGGCGACCGGTCACATGATCGGACAGGCTATCTTTGGGGCCCGGCTAGCAACATTCACCCCCTTTGACAAGCCATGTCCGGCCTCAATTAGGCCCTCCAAGAGTCATAGATGACGGCCTCTTAGTTAGTGTTAGTCTGCGCATTAACTTCTCGATTAGGGGTCTCGCTGCTGTCTACGCTACGGCGAGGTGTAGGTATTGTGTTCCCCCACGCCAAAGCAAACCAACCTCCGTGTCTTGGTGATGTTGCAATTAGACCGTTCCGGACCTGCAGAATGCCCAGACACGGAGTAAGGTCTTCGTGTTGAAGATCATGAATTTCTAGAAACCGGCAGTTCCTTATCGGAGCTTCGAGATTGATTATTTTTGGCATTTCGGTTCAAGTTGCTGCTTTCTCGAATCTCCAGAAGTCCTGGACAAGGCTGAAACAGAATTCGGTCTAAATGCACCCGAGCACATGATCGGAGGTGACGAAACATTGATGTCTGCATTGCTTGTTCCTGATGGAATTCAAATGCCGGAGCAGTGACCGCCTGAATGGTCATACGGACACAGCGATTTCGTAACAACATCCTCAATCGCTGCAACGCTTTCTTGTCAATAATCAAAACGGATACGGCGGAGACCGATTGATTGCAATTGCTGATACATGACCGCAGAAAATCGATAACGGCCCGCCTAGTCTTCAACTAGAGAGAGATTGTTTCTCGAGGAGAAGCAAGTTTAGGCGAGAGTTGTAAAGAGCTGGAGCTGGTCTGTGCCGGCAAGTCCGGGGTACGGCAGGGCATGGCTAAGCGTGTTTGGGTCGTATCGTTGAGCTAACCCAAGATGATAGATCTAGGCCTGGTCCCCGACTCCAGAAAATAGTACACTCAAAACTCCATCACGAGAAATATTTCGTGGTAAGATCAACCGATGGCTCGTGTATGGGGTCGCCGCTTGATTCTCCCCACGGAGGTTCAGGGCAGGCCCAGGCGAAATGAGATTTTCCCGCTTGATCTTGCTCTTCTTCATTCAAGATTTCATGATGAAGCGCGGCGCTATCAAGGCAGGGCCTTTTGGGTAAGAAAACGAGTGACAATGGTGAGTAAAATTGACTATCGTGACTTTAGCATTCCCGCGGGAATGTGGTTTTTAATACTCAAACAGCGAGCCATAAACCTCTACACATGAGCAGATTGACATAGAGTATATCGTATGAGTAACAATGGGAAATGAGTTCAGAATCATTCGTTTTCTAAGGATAAGTGACATCAGAATCGTTCAAGTTGCGAGATGCTCTCGAATAGTTGCTCGTTCTGGCTTAAGAATTGTCAACAAGGCACGGATCATCTTCAACTTGGTAATATCGTCTTCTCACGAGACAAGGTCAACGATGTAATCGTACGAGAGCACTGAAAGAATCGTATGTTATGAAACGATGGAAAGATATGTCATGCTGCACCAACGACCTCTCAGGGATATGAGTTGAAATTTGTTGTATATACCATTGGACTTCTTGCCTTTCATTCAAAACTTTCTACTTCCTTTTTTCAGCACCTTGAGATGACTTTATGGGCCCTGAGCACGACTGTTAAAGCAGTTCTAGCTTTTATGCATTTCTAAGGCGCGCTTCACTTGCCATAAATATCACTCGGGATATTCTTACTTCAGAGCACAAGCAGTCAATGGAAGAAAGAAATATTGAGAACATCACTCAAAACTACCCTGAACCTCTTCGACAACAACACGTCTAATGGCCAACGATAAGCTCAGGCACGGATAGTGTAAGCGAGATGAGCCTCACCGTGATCATCGTCAACTCTTACCCTGCAATGAACATCTCGATCTAGCTATCGACGCCATGTTGCTCTCCTTCCTAACTACGTAAGTGAGTAGAAACCCACTAGAAACCGCAAGGAAGTGAGCAAAACACTTGACATGGAACAAGTTTTGGAACATCTTTGCTGGGTTCAACGCGTCACTTGGAGATCTGCCGTTAGCCGCCGATGATGGACTCAAGATAACACCCAGATGCTGAAAATAGACCGAAATCGGCAGGATTCACACATTTCGAGCATGTTGCATGATCACGACAGCTTCTCGAAGGCATTGGTGATACACGTGGGGGATGTGTTGGTATGGCACGGTTGCGCCACTCCGGGGTTGTAGATATCACAAAGACGGTATCGAGGACCGGGCGTTGTGTCACATCACGATGGCCCTATCCCCTGATATCTCGATGGTCAAATGATAGGATAAGAAAGGACTAGCGACGCGAGGCAGAGTAGCATTGGCCATGTGTTGGTGCCTGGGCCTCCATCTGGCTTCATCACTTCTGGGGTAGGGATGACGAGTGCCGGCATCTTCTATCCATCCGTCGCATCGCATTGCCACGCACGCCAGCAAAAACGTCGAGACCACCATCTGTGGATGGGCATTGTGCATCGTGCATGGGGAAGTGGACCAAACCGCATCAAGATAAGCAAGACTCGCAGCGGTATCTTGACAGATTACTAGGCTCACTTCGCTACGGACCATCCGAGCTAAAGATGGTGTGAGGCATTGGGAGAGAGCGAGATAAGTCTTGGAGGCCCAACTAGTTTGGATCTGTTTTCCTCTGCATCTGAAGCAGTGACCAACCCCTTGTCTTGGTTTGATGCCGATTGAGGTTGACCGAGTGCAAATTGTGCATGAAGCTAGGCCCGAAGCAACGCTAGGGTTACGCGTTATCTCTGCGTGCGGAGAATCAAGAGCCAGCTAATGATATCAATGATCTCCATGAGCCGTGGGTACCGAGTTCCAGTGCGGGGGAGAGCCCAAAATATGGAGATAAGGCTTTTCCTATTACGGGATTTGGCTTGCAACTCGTACATGAAGGGATGGGAAGGCTGGATGTAGGCGTGGATAACCTCATGGTGAGGTGAGGTGACTGTAGACCAGCTGATTGTGGGATAAGAGGATGGTTGGAATGGGATGGGATGGTCTTGGTCTGGTGATTTGTGAACAAAGGCCACCAAAATGGTGGAGGAGGCGAAGAGAAGGGAGGCTAGACACCCAGTTGGTCAATGCAGAGACATGAAGACATCCGTAAACACGGTTCTCAGTATTGTTCATCTCATCGAGCTGAAAGCCATCCATCGTACGATATTCATCCTTCAACATGAAGTTATCACGGCTTCACGATAATCGCCAAAAACAACTCCAAGATAGCGAGCCTCACGTGATCGGGTTTCTCTCTGCCCCATACCCGGACTCCGGCTCTCAGCTCCGGAATTCCAGATCGGACCCGGAAAATGACTTTTGGTGAGAGACGTCCGGAATACGGTGGCCACCGAGACCGGCACAATCTCCAAGGCGGGGTGATAAAAGGCCCACTGGACGAGGTGAAATACACGATCAATTCACTTGGTGGTTATACATCGTCTCTGTTACTATTACAGGCTATCTGACAGACCAATCCTCACAATATCTGTCTGCCAATAGCATTGCACCGTTTACAATGGCCTCTTCATCATACCTAATCGTGGGAGCCGGTGTCTTTGGCGTCTCAACGGCCTACCAGCTCATCCAAAAGTACCCCAATGCTTCTGTCACAATTGTCGACAGAGATCCTTACGACGGTGACAACCGCGTAGCTGCATCTTGGGATTGGAACAAGGTCGTTCGCGCAGACTACGATGATCTCCTCTACTGCCGTCTCGCTCTTGAGGCGCAAGACATCTTCGAGTCTGATCCTCTCTGGATGCCTCACTTTCACAAGGCTGGTGTTTTCTGGGTCTGTCGCAGCGACTACGCTCAGGATGTTATCAACAACTACAAGAAGCTGGGCCGTGCTTCGGACATCCAAGTCTACACCATCGAGGAGGCTAAGAAGTTGTATGGCGGTCTCTACGAGGAGGCTGACTACACTGGTGCTAAGGAGGTCCTTGTCAACAGAAACAGTGGCTGGGGAGCTGCAGGCGACTCTCTGCGCGCTGTGACACGCGAGGCTATGAAGTTGGGTGTCAAGTACATCGTTGCAGATGTGGCTACGGTGCAGATTGAGAACGACCGCGCCACAGGCATCCAAACGGCCAAAGGCGAGATCATCTCGGCTGACACAGTTATCCTGTCCACCGGAGCATACACAGCCAAGCTTCTGGAATACAGCGCTGCACGCCACAACCTGCCTGATCTCCGATCCGGTGATCGCATCACAGCTGCTGGTATCACTACCGGCATGGTCACGCTTGATGACCAGTCATTCGCCAAGATGAAGGACATGCCCGTTGGCTTCCAAGGATATACCTACAAACACAGTGAGTTTATACCCGGGTGGCATACACCTTCTAGAACATCAACTAACGCTAGCTGCAGACTCTCCCTTCATTGGCAGTCTGCCACCTACCAAGGATCGAGAGATCAAGTGGTGGGGCCGCAACATCTTCAGCAACCACCGGGCAGTCCTCCCTGGCCGTGTCGTCTCCGCACCACCCGATGAGAAGGACTACGCTCAATGGAAGGTCCCCAACTCACTGAAGGAAGACATTGACAACGCCAACCGTCTATTCTTCGGAAGCAAGGGTGCGCACTGGAAGTACGAGAAGCATCGCATCTGCTGGTATGTATACCCCCCATGACGACGAGAAAAGACCGACTGACACCGAACGTTACAGGGACGCATTCACATCTAGTGGAGATTTCATCATCTCCCCGCACGCAGGTGCCAAGGGTCTGTACGTCGCAACATGTGGCTCATTCCACGGATACAAGTTCTTCCCTGTGCTGGGCAAGTACGTGGTGCAGATGCTCGAGGACAAGCTTGAGCCTGAGCTCAAGGAGAAGTGGGCTTGGGACAGGGAGCGGCCCGATGCAGCTCTCAACTGCGAGTTCCCCAACTCGGAGATGAGGGACTTGTTGGATCCCGCTGCTAGACTGTAGAACCCAAGGTAGCAATACATAATAGAAGCATGTAAAGAAGGACGGATGGAAGATCAGGGAATAAACAGAAAGGGAGGGTAACATCCTCTGAGGGGAATAACTGCGGGGAGACGAGCCAGGGATTAGTTAAGGGAGACATGATTGGGCGTTGGACGGCATAATTACGAGCATAATAAACGAATTGAGATTCTTGTTACTACCATGACATGACCAAAGTCATCCGTGATCGTCTCTGCCAAGCAGAAATGTCCTAAGCCAAGCAATGTTTAAAGTGCGTTGTCGGAGTAAGCTACGTAGAGATGCAGATGTGCGTATGTATCTTGGGCATCTCCTCACCTCCACTCTTATCTAGCACCCTGGGCTACAAGGGTGATCCTTGATCCACAGCGCGTTATCTGTCCCCGAAAGATCTCCGTTGGTCGGAACGAGGCGGGAGCCAGACGAGGTGTGTCTCGGTGAAGGGCCAAGGCAGAGGGATAGGTTATTTCTGGAAGCTCTGATAGAAGGTAGGCGCAGGGCAGGGCAGGACAGGGGATATAGAAAGTTTAGAAGATAATAAGCGGTATGACCGAATGGCTAGAGATAGGGAATTCTAGGTACGGTACGGTACGGTGAAGAGTTTTCACCTTGGCTGCTCTGGGAAATGACTCGATAGATGCAGTGTAGTGATTTTACTATCACCAGACCAAAGATATCGTGATGGCAAGTTATCCCACGCTGTATCTTGTTGTGCTGTGCTGTGCTGTGCTGTGCTGTGCTGTGCTGTACTGTACTGTTGCTGCAACGGATGGATTAGGTTGGATTGCTGGGATGGATGTGCTCTGTATTTCCCTCTCAGTGGGCCTCATCACCTCTGACCGGGAGTCACGCTATCCACGCCCCCTTGTTCTCTTCAGGCACTTCGCATTAGCCTTGAGCCATTCCATCCAATCCCTGGAAAATCCGCTAAAGCTTTTCTTCTTCGTACCAAACCAAACCCCGCGTTATCAGCAGCGCAGCGCAAGGGCCATGAGTATAAGGACGCACGCACGCAGTCTGTTTAAACCAGTAGGCAGTGCGGGGTTTGCAACAGTAGCTGTAAGCCATCCCAAACTGCACTGTATCCTACAGCAGAGCAGGCGCCAAAAGTTTCCAGAGGTCTAAGGGTAAGGTATTTAGTGGAAGCGGGCCCCTTTACAGCGAGCGAAACAAGGTTCACCAACTCCTACGCCATCAACTTTTTTTTTAATTCACTATTATTATCATCATCCTTCTCGTGTCGGGACAATCCCTCCCTCCCTCCCCTTCCCTCTTCTCTCTTCCTTGTCTCAGACAATAATAATACATTACTTCAAAATGTCGAGATCTTCAATGTCACCCACCGAGGAGAACATCAACGCCAGCAGCAGCAACAACAACAATAATAATCCTCCCACTAGCACCCGCGGCAGACGACGCTCTCACCACGCCTGTCTGACTTGCAGGTTGGCAAACACCACACACACTGCGATGTCGCGTCTATCACAGCTGTACTGATTTGAGAAACCCAGACGAAAGAAGACCCGTTGCCCAGGCGAGAAGCCAGCATGCTCCAGCTGCGTCCGCCTCAAACAGTCGTGCTCCTATCCCCCGGCGATCAGGCCCTCTCAGAGCGGTCCTTCGGTACGTTGTGCATGGGGTTTTGCACACGCAAAATAAACATAACTTGACGATTTTAACTAGGAGGAGAGATTGGCCCATCTGGAGGAGAAGCTTGACTTTCTGCTCAATGGAAGCTTGTAAGTACTTTTTGTTATCTCTGACGCTTACTTATAGTGGGAGGGGTTCTAACTTTTTGGGGCGTTTGCAGGCCTACGTCACAACAAAAACAGAACCAACACCACCAGCAAAACCATCACCATCAGCAACAGCTCGACTCGGCGCTCGAAGAAACGACAGACACGTCCGAAAAGTCATACTCGGGCGTGCGCAACACGCGCGAACATAGTTACCCTACAAGCCATCCCTCAGTAAAGTCCGAATCCGAGAACTCGTCTCTGCGACCGAGCCATTCCGATATCGCTGTTGGCATCGCGTTGTATTTTGAGTACTGCCACCGACAGCCAATATGGTGTTTTGAGCGCGACGAGGTCAGGGACTTTGGGTCTATGCATGATGAGCTTGCTTGCAGCATTCTTGCCTTGACGTTGCGATTCTCTGAGAATGGGGACCAGGCAAAGTTGTACGCCAACAATGCCAAAAGTCTCATCATGCTGAGGATCGCCAATGGGACTGTAGATCTTGCGACGCTCGAGAGTCTCTGTCTTCTCTCGTACTCCTCATTTATTGGTATGTTTGAGTTATTTCCGTTGTCGCGACACATGAACTAACATTTCTAGATGGCAATGTGCACCTTGGCCAATTCCACCTCGGCCTTGCGCATCAATTGTGTCGCTCTGCGATGCTGGACGTTGACTCGGTTTACGGCATGCAAGATCCCATGTCGGACCGCAAGAAGAGGCTATTCTGGAGTCTACAGATGCTTGAGCAATCTTACGGCCGACAAGAAGGTCTTTTGAGCGTCCCGACAGAGATCTGGCGCCCGGCCTACTCCACGACTCGAGGCTCAATGTCAGATCACGACCCACGAGCGCCCAAGCTGCCCAGAGATGATCTCGGTTGCCAACACCAGAATGAACCTGGCATCTGGAATACGAGCGTTCATCTTGGATGGGTCTGGAGTCAAGTGCGAAAATACGTCTCCGATTGCGCGCACAACAACATCAAGGAGCCTTGGCGACATGACTCGATGTACGCCAAAGTCCTCGCCGACTTTATGGAGACAGAGAACAGGATACCCATGTGCCATCGCTACGACACTGTCAAATTTTATGAGCGCAAGGTCGAGGACCTGAAGATACACCGCGATTACTGGGCGCCGTGGTTAAAGGAGCAGTTCACATACCACGTCATTCCGACCGTATTGAATCATCCTTTCTTGTACATCGTGGGAGCGCAACACAACCCCAACCTCGCCATCCCAAACACGTTTTGGAGGCGATCGTCAGAATTGGCACTGCTGCATTCCACATGGATCGTTCGCATGATCGACATGGTCGTCGATAAGCAAGTACCGCTTGCAGATCCTTTCTTCGGCCACGTCGCTGCCATTGCGGCCACGGTGCACCTGTACTACTGCTGCGCTGCTGCGGCGCGATTGAAGCACAAGTCCAACACCGACTTTGCCAAGTGCAGGCGATTTTTGAAGAACTTTATTCCCACTTCAGCAGCTTGCAGAGCATTGGTATGTATATACTTTTCTAGCTATCGCATGAGTTTGCACTTACAATTGACAGGACCGCAACCTCGACAAGATGACGCGCATCGCTGCAGGTACATCAGACAGCATGGACGTTGAAGACTGGATGCCCTCAAAGATCTACCTCAGCGTCCCTCTCATGTGGAAGATTCTCCAGTTCAACACCTTTGCAGACTCTCACGAGCTCCCGACGGCTGGACTTCTCAACCAAACCCTTGTACCAAACACCACAAACGAGGATGCAAATGAGAACATCACGCTGGAGATCATCGTCGCCAGCGCACCCGAGATCACAATCAACACTGCAGACGGCGGCCAAGAAGCGCCAACGGCATCTTACAAGGCCCCGCTGTCGTCGCAGGGTCCAGACTCTGCGCGCGACACTGTCTACGATGAGGTACCAGTAGACGATAACTTGACGTTATGCACAACGCCATGGCTCTACGCGGACTCGTCGCAGTTCGTCAACATTGCCGACATGGGCTGCGATGACCCCCAACCTGCCCTGAGCGAGAACAGAGGGCCTGCATGGTGGGAGGGTGAAAATTTTAGTAATATCATGTTTAATCACTTTTAGGAGTATGGTAAATGGATCTTGGGTATGGACGGACAAAAAGGTTAGGGTAGGGTAGTGGAGATGTATAGGAGAGATACATATAGTCGAGCCGTCGAATATTCTCTTGCTTAATTGAGACGTCTAGAAGACTGGGCGGATTACCTTCTCCCGTCATTCCATGCATAACGAGACTTGCCATTCCCTGTTCTAGATCAACAGTGCACTGTCTCCCGAATCCTTCTCTCCAAATCCCCAGTTACATACAGAGCAAACAAAACAGGGCGACGTTGCAGGTCTTCTCTCCACAATGACAGAAGCCGCGCATCATCCATCTCCAAGCCCCGTCAGTGAGTGAGTGTAGACTGCGAATGCCCCCTGCTCGCTCTCCGATGAGCGTCTCGATATGGGGGGCCGGGGTAGCCGAAACCGGGCAGATTTCCTGGGGAAGACGCCGACCGAAGCAAAAAAGTTGAAAATGCGGGGGAGAGAAGGTTGCCGGAGATGGAGAAGACGCTAGACATGCACAGTGTGTCCCTCCCTAGCCAAGGTGAGAGACCGAGTGGATGAGAAAGTGTCGAGGCGTGGGGACCGTGCTTGACTACCTTAGTACTTTTTTGCTTAGAGAGAAGCAAAACAAAGAGTCTCCTCCCGGATTTCTATGTGTCAACATGTCTCCATAAGAGGAAACCGGGCGTCTACACAACCTGGGGTAAACCGGGGAAGTCGGGGTATATTTCAGGGCCCCGACGCGGGGGAGTTGACAGACAGGCTAATCTGGCGATATTGGGAGAGGCGAGGCGGGTCATCCGGACAGTCTAGATTTTCATCTGACGATGCACAGTTTTTGGTGTTGAGTTTAGCTTCATGGCGCAATGCACATCAGAAACCCTCCCTCCCTCCCTCCCTCTCTCACCTGAGTCGGGTTTCGTTTCACCGCTCCACTTGAGCATGCCACGACACGACACGACACGACATGGCGGTTGGATATTCGTATCCTCTTGGCAAATGTGGTCTACCTACTCGGTTCCATCGGCTGCAGAGGGAGGCCGGAATTCCAGGGTCGACGGCCTCTCTGGAATGGGAAATTTGGTACGCCGATGGGGCGCCATGCGATTCAACGTGCCTGGCAACCAAATAAGCCAAGCTTTTCTGGCTGTCAAGATGATT